CCATATATGTTTGCTAACTTCATTTTTCTATCCGAAATATAGATAAAGTATTTTAATTAATTAATGGGTATTAAGACTTTCGATCAGCAGACATTAATTTCACTGTAAGAAAACAGTGTCACACGAAATAAAAAAAGTTTATTGTAATAAGAAATAATGTTGTACTTAAAAACTATAATTTTCTTAAGCATTAACACACATCTATATGAATAAAATTCTCCAATGAATTCTGAGATTAAAACGCGACAACGCAAATTTATAGCAATTTACAGACGATATGTGACACAAGGTCTATTTTTAGGTGGGGACCCGAGCGCGTACACCCGGGACAAGAACAAGCTGGGAGGATGGGGGGAGAAGAAGAGGATTCATATCTTTCCCAAAGGTATTAAAGCGTAAGTGAATGTCATGGATTTGACTGGAATTCGAACTCTATTATTACTATCTATTACTCCACCGAAACATTAAACATTTAATTAACTCCGAACATTAAAGAAAAATACGTCTTTATATACAACTAGCAGAACGAAGAACATTCTTTCTAGTTTTATATAAAGGCATTTTGATTTAATAAGATTTCTGGAGTATACATATCGGCAGACGAAAGGAAAGTACTGTTTAAAACAATAAACGGAGCGTCTACTCAGATATGGGTATCCACTAAAAATAATGTTTAAAGATATAAAAATGAGTTCCGATGAAGTTCTGATCCAATATGGATCGGAATCCTACAGAAAGGTAAGATAAAAACAAATAGGAAACGTTTATCAATCTAACTTCACTTTTACAAAAGGTGATAATATATATATATATATATATATATATATATATATCACCTTTTGTAAATATATATATAATGGGCTCTCCCGTCGGTTTCGACGTATGAGGATCTGACAACTTAAACAATTGATTGAGTTATGAAATTTTGTGCGATAATCTTAAGTGCAACTTAAGATCGACTAGTGATTACAAAGGAGGCTACATTTGGAGCTAGAGTGAGGATTGTGGGATGAGATCACTGTTAGATTGGCTGACCTTTTAGATCGTGCCCTCGCTTCTTGAAGACGATTCAGACAAGCAGATTGAAAACTGCTGAGTCCACTAAGCACGTTGATCGCCATTCTACCCGTTCCAAGGCTAAGCGCTCGAGGTTATTATAAGGTATATTGACAGCTGACAAGTTGCTCTTCAGCTTATCTTTGTATCTTAGCCACGGGCGTACTATATTCCTATAGCTTATATATATATATATATATATATATTCCTATAAATTGTTTTATGTAATTGGGAAATTTCCAAAAAACTTTTCTTCAGAGTATTTTCGAATGTTTCTCTATTCGTTGTGAAGGATTTCGTTTCTGTCTGTTTTATTTTATTTTTATATGACCGCTTATGATCTTTTAAAAAAGAAAGGGTCGCTTATACAGGAAATGAACGCTTATGACGATTTGAAAAAAAAATGACCATCTATGTCCATTTTAAAAAAAAAGAAATGACCGCGTATGCGTCATTTTAAAAGAAAGTACATTTATAAACGAAATGAGTTTTTAAAAAAGGGAGATTGTATCTCGAAGTGTATGTAAATCAAAACTTAATGAATCACGTAAAAATGCTGTTCGACCTTTATAAATGAGGTCACCTCAAGAGACTCGAAATTGGTTCCAGCAAACATTGAGAACACCGGATTTAGCGAAGAACTCTATTTCATAAACTAATTTACCTGTAACTGGGGGAGATGAGGCGGGGTTCATACATAATAAAAATGTGATAAATAAGCAACAAATTATAATGTGGATATTAAATGGGGGATCAATTCTATACTAAAATGCATACATAAACTGAACCCTCACTTTGTGGCCTTGTTAGTCTCTATGCATCTATATTCCAGAGAATGTAAATAAATGTAAAAGGCAGCCCTGTGCAGCTAATCATATTTGATTGATTCATTTATTCATTTTCTACGGCTTATCAACCCATTGCAAGTTATTTAAAGCCAGAAAATATTTTTCGATTGTAAGATTTTTTTTCAGATAATCGTTTAATGATCCAAAGCTAGGGGAGAAGAGGTGGATTCGTGCCTTTCCCCAGGGGAATTGCGCGTGATTTAATATAAAGAACCCGACTGGAATTGAAACTCTCTGATTAACAATTCGAAGTCATTATCCATTATCCATTATCCATTGCATCACCCGCACAGCCAAGCTTACAGCACCTGATATTCTCAAGTGGTCCATCTAGACTGACCAGGCTCGACGTTGCTTAACTTCGGTGATATTCTTTTTTTAGTCGCATCAACGTAAACATCAATTTATTCCCATTAAGGACGAAACGCGTCACAAGAAAACCTTTTTCCATTTTGTCATACATTTTCACCTAACACACACACACACACACACACACATATATATATATATATATATATATATATATATATATATATATATATATGTATATGTGTATGTGTGTGTGTGTTGTGTTATGGTCCAGATTAGGACCAAGG